AGAAATGTTTCTTTTTTTCTCCTTCTCTCCCCCCTCCCCTGCTTTTTGGAAAGTTTACTTGAAGAGTATACATGAACAGGTAGCACCAGCAAGAAGAATAAGCAGAGCCAGGAGCCTCAGGGACTGGCCATGGGCTTCTCTGTTTTCCAACTATGCTGAATCCTGGTAGATAGATAGATAGATAGATAGATAGATAGATAGATAGATAGAGAACTGTCCAGTGGCCTCCTAGTTTTATTAGTCAGCATTTTTCCTATTGCTGCATCCTTTGGGTTATTTGGTTGTTGTCCTTCTGCTGATTGAGTTTTCTCCTGCCACACCATCAAAGAGCAGCATAATAATTATTTGTCAACGATCACTCCAGTCTGCCATGTCGTAGCAATATACTCATTAGTACTGTATGTCTGTTGAATAAATAGTGTGGTAGCTTGCCACACACATGGCAGATTGGAGCCGGATCTACTTCCATAGAATTGTGCGATATTCTTTACCACATTTTTGCGTGGAACATCATTGGAAAATGAATCACTCTTTGTAAGAGTTTACCTTCCTGTAACAACTGGGTAAACTAATGCACCATTTGTTCCCAGGGTATCACCTGATCAAGAATAACTGCAACAAGTACGCTGTACAACTTTTTATTCCAGGAAATTACTGAGTCTGATGTGCATTCAGTACTTCATCAGCAAACATCATAGAACATGTCATTGCGCCAAAGCGTTGCAAGCAGCTTGATCCATGCATATGGCGAGCATTGGGGTGCCAGAAAGTTTACAGATTATTTTATATCATTGTGGCCTCATCCTTGCAATACATTTGATGCTGGTGTCAGGCATTTGCTGTCTACAGCCCTGGTAAACAAGTTCCCAGCTCAGATAACCTTGCCAGCATTGGCAGGGACTAGTTACTGGAAACCGGTGCCCTGAAACAAAAATTTGGCTTGCATGTTGGACATGCAGAGTGCCTGTGCATGGGCAACAATTCTAGAATCCTTCTGGCAGGCTCCATACTTGCACAGCTGTAGCTAGACACTTCATTTTGATTCTACACCCACCCTGATCCACAGTATCTGGAAATAGTTTATTAGCGCCTTCCCAAACGCAGATCTCTTTGAAAAAGACAACATCCATCTTCAAACAAATGAGACTCCCCTAGAAACAAACTTTTCATTCCGTCTTCTGTACTGATTTGTTTCTTTCATTTCTATATTTCTCAAAGTGCTCTTATTGGTATAGGCACATACTGAGAGAGTTCAGGTTGGTGAGGTCTGGACAGATTCTGGTGGGCTGGAGCAGGGGGAACCCACTAAAAAATTCTGGTTGTATTCATTGTTAGGCTTATGTTAAAGCAGAACAGTTAAAATGAAAGGGACTTGATTTAGATTGGCATTGAATAGAGGCCATTGGATACATAGGGCCTGTATTAAAATTCATAGCTATTTTAATAAATGAAAAAATAAGTTCTAAAGTGTCTGTCCATTTGTTCTTAAGCCAAAAATTCCATTCCTACATTTGGATTTTAGCAGAGTGTTTATAGTTCTGTTCAATTGTTTGTTTTTAAATTAAAAAAATGAATTTGTGGGTGCTCAAATCCTGGGACATTATTTCTGTTATGTTCTTGGCTGCATGAAGTAAAGCTTAAAATGTGTTCTTTAATTAGCTGGATACTACTTTTGTTGTATGATGTGATCCAAAAAAGCTGCATATTCCATTTTGAGATTTTTTAAAATTTCTTTCTAAGATTTCCACAGTAAAGGAACCTTTCATTGATCTTTCACTCCCTATAATAGAAGAGAGGGTAAGCAACACATTATTTAATAACCACAACTGCTGATTTTAATGCATGCTGTTGTCATGTTTGAGGATGACTGAACACTCACCAAACTGTGGTTTAGAGTGTCAGCTATGAAATTGTGTCTGGGATTAGTTCCCAACATTAAATATATATTGGTACTTTGAAAATTGCCTTAACTTTACCACCTGTACTGACCAAAGGGGATTAGTCTTAAGTATTATATGCATATAATTGTGTGTATGTGGAGAACCTTTTAATATATGTAGATGTAGGGTGATTTGTCAATAAAAAATCTTCATTTTTTATTGTAAATTCACACATTCTTGGTTTAGTCAATTCCCTGTAGGCACAACAAATGATGCACTATAACTCTTAACCTAACCCTTCATCCTATAAAGATACAACATCTTCAGACTATATGGTAATTTAACAAATATCTTCATTGGAAACTGGGTGATATCAGTGCTGTGGTATTTCAGACAAATGTGTTATTAGAACACTTTCTGATAGATGCAGGTCCTCAGCTGGCTAAAGATTTGAGTGCCACATGTCATTGGAATAAGCCAGTAGGAGGGTTCGAATTGGATGGGACCCGGCAGGCCTATGTACAAGTATAATTTGTTCTATAAATAGAGCAATTTTAAACGCATCCTTTAGCCTGAATGTGGACAGCTTGTGCCATTCTAGGTACTTCAGCCTACAACTCCCCTGACTCCTCCCCATTAGCTTTGCTAGCTAGGTTCGATGGGAGTTGTAGGCCAAAATCTCTGGAGAACTACTAGTTGCCCACCTTGATGTAAACCAGCACAGTACTATTTAGGATAGATGAGGTGTGGAAAGGAACCTATATACAGAAATGTTTGGATATAGTATGTTCCACCCTGAAACTACACTTATCTTCTAGATCTCAAAACCTGCTCCTTTTGGAAGAACAAATAAAAGTAAACACATACAAGAAACTGATGTTGATCAATACAGCGGTTCTTCTCTTACTGCTCTCAATAATCAACAATCAAAACAGGCTAGGAAGCACTCATTAACAAAGGACAAGGTAAGAAGGTAGTAACATGACTAATATGCACATTATTACAAATACTCTTAAGACAAAGTTCTCATTTCTTGTAGGTATCTGAATAGCTGGGGACTCAATCTGCATAGCACATGACTCTAGCACAGCATTACACAGTTTGGAAGTCTAAATCTTAGTCTTCTGAGGCTCATAATGTCATATTAATAAATTGTAAGGCTTTTAAAAGAATGCTTATAACTAAGAAGTGTGTGTTTGTTTAGGCGTATGTGGTATAGGGCCTTAAAATTATTCTTCTTATTTAGAATCTTCTTTTAAATTGTATGCTTATTTCACTCTGTCTTCCATCCTCATTTTCTGCACTCATGTCCAGGTTTGCTCCTGGCTGCAAATGCAGGCAGTACAGAGCTGGCCAAGAGAGCAGACAAATAAGCATTAGTGCCATTTGGTGGATCAGTTGGCAGGGTGTGCTATAGGAGCAGTAAAGCCAGCATGGCTTCCCTGGAGACTTGGAGCATGATTTCCATTATGTACTCGGCCTCCAGTGGCCCAAGGGCCTAAGAACTATAGTTGAGTTTCTTAACATGTTTCCTCCCAGTGCTGATAATGGCACACTGCTGATATGCCAGACTAGCAGCATAGGAAATACCGACATACCTGCTGCAAATGTTCTGCTATGCATTACTTTACAGGAAAGTATTTTAAAAGAGCGATACCTTCACCTACTTTATAATATTGAAAGTTGGTAACCGATATCATTTAGCCTCTAATAGATGAAGAGAGTGTCTTGCTAAGCATCTGAGTAGCAAACATACTGCCTCTGAGGCACTCGGCAGCATTTCTTATTTCCTGCTCACTTTATTTTCTCCCAAAAGCTGTGAAGTTCAAAAAGCACAATTGCTTGCAATCTAAAGGCATTCCTTTACATTTGGACAGCATTAATCATTACAGTTTCCATTATGATAGATGAGATTTGATTTTTCACGGCTTACCATTGTTCTTTTCCCCTCCCTCCCTCCTTCTCTTTCCAGGATTATATGTTGTGATTTAGATTTGAAAAACTGTGTTGTTAGCGCATCTCCTATTTGCTATTTCTATTTATTCATTCAGGTCTGGAGAGTGCATAGTTATATTTCTAGACAGCATTAAAAAAGAATGTCCTTGAGCAGCAATCCCAGAATCTGGAATAATGGGTACATCAGACTTTGTTCAAAGTCCTGCCATCATATGCATAGTAGCAAAGTTTTTGAAGGAATAGTGGAAGGCAGTTAATCTATAGTCTGTCTATAAAATATTTTAGCACTTAGAAAGCATCTTCATCCATTCTCAAGGTCATGGTAGGTAATATTAAGCCCATGTGCCAAAAATAGTAATCGTGGTATGTCCCCTGCTGCCTCTTCATTTCTCCCTGTTTTAAAAGGCAAGACATATGAGAGTGCTCAGCCTGCATGTGGGCAACTCCAGTGTGGGCTTAAAATTCCCTAGATGCAGTTGCTTAGGGCAACAGTCTTCCAAGGACATCAGACTAATTGGAAAATCCATTGAGGTAGAATGAGTTCAGCAAAAGTGCCAAGAATTTGAAGATTTTGTGCTGGAGATTAACATGTCAAGGCTCATGACAGGTAATTCACATAACACAGATTATTGTTTGAGTAGGATTTAAACCCTAGATTACTTGTAAGTCAAACATAATTTCTGTTATGCAATTGTGTTTATGGGAGGATTTGCAAAAGCTTTTCAAATAGAACTCATCATATTGAAAGCACTCCTAAGATTTGTGTCTTCCATGTTACAGTTCCAGGTTAATTTCCTTATGGTGAACTTGTGGTTGTTCTTTACTGGCTTATTGGATGTAAAATAATGTGTGTGCTTTGTTTGCCTTATACAGAAGCATATTTTTGTTAGAAAAACAACTTAAATAAGGTGTAATACATTTCTTAACATTAACTCTTGTCCCCTGCAACCTTTCATGGGGAATTTACATCGGCTCAGATCACATTGTCTTTGTGTGGTATTACTGTGTTTTATACTTCCCTTGTTTAGCACACATTAAAGAAGTTGTGAATGGCAATATCAGAATAAGAAACCCGCTCTTCTATGCAAATATACAAACTTACGTATGTTCTAAAGAGAGAGGGAGGATAATGATTTAAAATTGTTTATTTAAAGATCAAGATTAAAGCAATAGGAAATCAAAATATTTACTGAGAAGGTAAATGGAGATGGTCTAAGGAAGGCTTTACCAGCCTATATCTATATGGTTCACTTTTCTTGTGGTTAGTTCCTTACTAGTAGAAAGCTTTCTTGTTCTGTCCATCCCCAGTCATAGACATCATTAACTTGTATGCCTGTCACACTGATTTCAGTGGACCTTAATAGTTTAGAATTATCACCTAAGGGATATTTATCATCTTTAACCTTTATATGAAAGATTTCTTTGAAAGAGAAATGCCTGTTCCAAACGCCATGTGTTGGGATGCGATGTCCCCAGCCAGAAAGCTAGCTGCATCTGAATCCCCAAGGGCATTTGGAAGAAATCCACAGGGAAGGCTTTTAAATTCCTGTTGGCAAGCTAATAGTTTTGCTGATAAAAGTTAAACTTCACAGTGTTAGGAACTGTTCAATACTATTAGTGCAATCAGCTCCTGTTAGAACTCAGTACTATTTTTAAAATATTTAGCATGTTTGTACACATTACTTTCCATAGTGGTTTCAAATCCTGCTTATTGCCCACATCGAACCCAACCTCAATTGCCTTTCCTTAAGAATAATCCATCCATGAAAGACAGTAGAACTGCAGTTGTCAAAAGGAGCAGCTGCCACTGTTTTTTATTGCGGAAATGCCCTTGCAATAGATGAACTTTGAAAATATTAAAGGATGGGGCTTAGATCAGAATTTAAGCGTTCTGCTTAATTATTAAGCCAAGGTTTATTATTTTTAGGGGCAATTAACCTGGAATGAGTTTGATTATGTTTATAGTTCTTCTTTGTTATTATTTGTGTTTATGAATTAATGCAAGATGGAAGTTAATACATATGTGCATGCATACATACATGATCTTAACTAAAAGAAGAAATTATAGGCTAAATCAAAGGTTCCAAAATCAACCAAGAGACAGAAAGAAGAGATCCTCGGAAGAGTTCTGCAGATGTGGTACACCACACTCCTGACCCCGGTCTTCAGGGACAAGGCAGGCAGGTTCATCTGGGAACAGATAGTAACTTGATTTAAGCCTTTTGCTGTTTTTAAAGATAAGTGCTAGGGTTCAGAAACCAATAAGCAACTTGATTGTGGAATGCCAAACAATAACCCGACAGCTGCGCTTTGCACCAGTTCAGAAGTACTGGCCCAGCAATGTGAACAGGCAGGGTCCCAGCAACAACCATCTCTGCTGCTCTGTAGAGAGCTTCCTTTATGCAACAAACTGAACATGCTACATTTTCTTTTGGAGAATGGGGGTGTAGGGAGGCAGGGAATAGACTCAAGAAGGTAGAAGGGTGCTAGTGAGAACCTCACTAAAGATCATTTTTAAAAGCATGTAGATGCTTGCTTTAACCATGTCTTAAACACATACATGGCAGGCAGGCAGGCAGGCACGCACCATATTCAGATACTATTAAAAGTGCTGAAACTCACCATGTGAGCGGATACACCCTGGACCAAATAGCTCCGGGCTGGTAACACACACAGCCCTGCCCATCAGTGCCCATGTACACAGTACAAATACAGCAAGAAGGCCTTTGTGAGTAGAACTGTGTGTGCATGGGTTTCCACATTCTTTGGAACCTTGTATGAATCCTGCAGAAGCCCAAGTGCATACAGATGTGCTTACATACCCAAAGGACTCCTGGCTGCAGGCATTCATGCTGTACCAATGGACAGAGCTGTAATACTCTGTTACAATCAAGCATGGGGCTACTGGGCATGGCTTGTTTCTGCTTTCCTAACTCCTAAATAGGGCTAATATGAAAGTGTGTGTTATTACAGTTTTTTATGAATTTTGAAGTGCTCTGCATTTCTTTTTTTTTCCCATTCCTTTTCATACTTAATAGAACCAAGTAAACCATGAAAGAAGATTTGCCAAGAAATCCTCTCCTGGAGAAGAAGGAACAAGTCCTCTTATTATGCATGAAAAAATCAGAAATGTTAAAGCTGAAGGCAGAGCTAGTGGTTCATACGCAAGAAATGGCAATACAGCAATGGACACTACAGCAAATGGAAGTCAGACAGAAGGCAGTGAAAAAGAAGCCAGCCATTCTGAAAGTAGCCTTGATGCAGACAGTGAGGCCTCTGAAAGCGAAAGTACTTTGAAGCAAACAGCTTCAGTTAGAGCTGGTAGCACATCTGCTTTGTGTACTGATGGGCACAAACCTTTTTCTGCAAATAATAAAATACAATGCAACACATCAAGCAATGGCAATACAGAGGCGCTTATTAGTGCCGTGTCAAATCTTGAGTTGGGCAGTCGAGTCTGTGAGATGGAAAAGCCCCTTACTCGGGATCCACTATTTAATCTGTCGAACAACGTCACCTTTTCAGCAGAGAAACCCCCATTGCTGCAGAACCCTCAGAATGCTTTTCAGACTCTTTCGCAGAGTTATGTAACTAGTTCTAAAGAATGTTCAGTTCAGTCGTGCCTCTACCAGTTTACATCAGTGGAACTGTTAATGGGAAACAACAAGCTTTTGTGTGAAAACTGTACAGAATGGAAGCAGAAACACCAGAAGAAAGCAAATTCCGCAGGTAACACACTGGTGATTGAATATATTATTCATTTTGTTTGCCTTTTCCACATAATGACATACCCATGGAGGGGTTGCTGTTAGGTGTTTGTTAGCCTCAGAAGCAGTCCCCTTCCTCCCTTTTGTATGGCATATTGCTTTTGAAATTGGAAGAAATGTCAAATGCCTTTTATGACTTGACATGGAAACCGGCTGTTAAAAGATGAAATATTGCTTAGTTGGGCTTAAAGTTGATCTTTGACTTCTGACTCATGTAACAGAAGAATTCTGAACTTGATGCCCAACATGATGCTATTCTTTGTACTTGCAAATCTTTTTGCCCGTGGCATAGTTCTTTCACACTCCTACCCCTTTTCAGCCCATTACATTTATATTATACAAATGGGGCCTGCAACAAACCATTGCAAAATAGAACACTTTTTCCAGTTCTTTGTGGCCATTCAGCATTTCTTTCTTCCAGAATGCTTCATTCTAATCCCACCTCCAAACAGTCATCATTGCACTCTCACTTTATACCCAGCTTAGTCCCTCACTGGGCTGTTTAGTTTCATTTCTCCCTTTGCCCTAGTTAGGAGTGGTTGAATCAGTATGGTATACTGCTACAGACCCTGGCTTTCCTTTCCTTTACATCCCTCTTGTGTGGGGATGGTGGTATTTTAACTATATAAGGATAGGCTGGAGTACAGAACATCTTATAATCCAAGGTCAAAATTCCATTTGAGAAATTTCTTGGAGACCACATCGCAGTTGTGTGTGGAAAGAAAGGAAAAAGGGGAAAGGTCAAAATTACCACCATATTTTAGCTTAGAGCTTTTGCTACTATTAACTCTGTCTTAAGAGAAAAAATACAGCTTTTTAGAGCTGAGAGAAGAACTCCAACAAACCCAGGGGAAAAAATTATGGTTGAGGGTAAGGGGCATGGCCTGCTGGGAACTCCTGGAGCCCCAGTGAGGTCCATTTGGTCCTTGAGCTTGAGTTTATGTATCCCTGAGATAGGGAGGCAGCAAATGGATCCATCTCCTGCAAAAGAGTCTACTGCTGATGCAGTCAGAGTATTCTAAAAACTTGAAGCAATCCAGGTTAAACCAAAGTGACAGACAGTACAAAGCATCTTGGTTGATTAAATATATGCATATTCACTAATTACATAATTCATTCCAATTGTATTATTATTTTTTTGTGATTGATGTATTCTGATTAATACCATGTTTGCCATGTGTCTCCCTGTCATTTTGTGTTACAGTAATGCCCTCTGGTGTCCAAAATACATATAAAATTTCAGCTTTTTTTCCAATTGATGTATCCTACCAAGCGACACTGCAAACTTCTGGGCTCTTCCCGGTTCACACAACCTCATTGCCCCCACTGCTGGAATGAGGATCCTGACAGGTTTTGGCTAAGGCATTCAGTGTGGATAAGTGCATGGTCTTGCACTTGGGATATAGGAATGGATGTCAAAAGTACAGGTTAGGGGACAAGTGGCTGGTGAGCAGCAGTTGTGAAAAGGATCTCGGGATGCTGGTCAGCTGCAGGCTAAACATGAGTCAGCAGTGTGATGTGGCGGTCAAGAGGGCAAAAACCACCCTTGGATGTATAGCCAGAAGCATGGCTACTAGATAGAGAGAAATATTACTACCACTCTATACAACTCTGGTGCACCTGCAGCTGGAGTACTGTGTTTGGTTCTGGGCTCCACATTACAAGAGAGATATAGCAAGGTTGGAATTGGTGCTGTGAAGGATGGTGGCTGGTTTGCAGGGTTCCCATATAAGGAGAGACCGATGGAGCTGGATCTCTTCAGCCTTGAGAAGAGGAGACTCAGAGGCAACCTGTTAGTGACATAAGGGTACGTCACACAGACCTGTTGTGACCTGTTCTCCCCTGCAGATGAGGGCAGGACATGTTCCAATGGAGCACAGCTCAGGCAACCAAGATTCAAGTAGAATGTCAGGAAGTACTTCCTGATGATTAGGCCCCTAGGGCATGGAATGGGCTTCCACAGGAGGTGGTTGAAGCCCCATTGGGGAGGGTGGTTAAGGATAGGCTTGGACATGCATATGGTAGGGATGTCATGAATGGAGCCATCTGGAGCTGGGGGGGGGGGGGTCAAACTAGATGGCCCAGGAGGTCCTTTCTAACTTGCTCTGTTTTTCTGTTTCTGTGTTTTCCTGAAGAATTCAACAAGAAAAGCTTTCCCACTATTGCTTTTAATCTGTTTTAAAAGCCATATAAGGTTGTAGTCATGGAATTGCTTGGAATGTCATCTTGCATTCCAAGTATCCCCAAGCTAGTGCCCCCAGATGTTTTTGACCACGGCATCACTAACTATTAGCTATTATATTTAGAGCTGTTGTAGTCAAAACATCTAGAGGGCACCACCATGTGGAGAAAAACTGTTCTTTTAATCCAGTGGAATAAAGAAATTAAGTCTTAAACTATTGAAAAAATATGTGGTTTTATTCCAAGAAGTAGCTTGCAAAAAATCTTTTTTTTTTTTTTTTTTTGCAAATCTCTGCAGGCATTTATTTATAAAAGCTGACACATAAAGAAGGTGCACACTTGGGCAAAATCTATTCAGCTCCTTCTTAGAATAAAACCGCATATGCTGTTTCAACATCCTGTACCTTCATCTCTTTATTTCACCAGATCATTTTGGCTGTTCTCCAGTTTTGTTTAACTGTTACATCGTAATGGGTTCTTGAGAACAGATTTCACAGTTTAGGATGTAGGCATCCAGATTTTGTACTAGAATTTTTATATTGGCTTTACATATGAGATATTTGGGAAGGAAATTGGAGAGAGAATGTATGGCTATGCTTTAATGTGCACTTGTAAAGGTGGTAGACTGTCAAGGTATTATTAAATTATAACTTTTTTCAAAGTCTAGGGAAAGAGAAGTGTAGATTGGTATTATAAACAAATTTAAGTTCGTTTGGGATCATTGTGGAATCTGTTCGTGGTAGTTTGCCATGCAATATGTTATAAAGGGGTCATTACTTCTGTTTATTTTTTGCTGCATCCCACCAGCCCCTCCCTGCTTGTCATTGCATGTGAGTGAGGGGAAAGCATGCTAATAGGTAGCAGTGGTGGCCAGGAGGGAGGGCAGGAAAGCACAGTGCAAGTGCTATGGAATCTGCCATGCCTAGTGATGTCTCTGTTAGAAAAGATGAGAGCGTACTCATGCCAGCTACAGCAGGGCAAATCTGTGCTAATGTGTTTCCAGTTTGGATTCAGGAGGGTATGCAAACAGGGTCTCAGTTCAGACTTAACAATTTTGGGATGATAAACCTTAATTCTCTTGTTTGTCTAAGGGGTTTTAATGTTTGCAAATAACCCAGAGGACTATTCCCAGGATCCTCTGGGTTATTGGGGTGGTATATGAACACAATAAGTAATCAGTCAGAGACTAAAGATTATGCTTGTGGACTTCTTTATTGCTCTTCACTTTTGTGCACCTTTCTTAGGCACCCAATAGCCATATACTTGCCTTGCCTGCACTAGAGTTTCCTTGGATGCACTGACCAGAAAATTTTGGTTTAATCTCTGCTTACAAAACAAGGTGTGAAATCATGGTATCTGACCTCACAGGAAACTGGTTTAAAGAGACCAGGATAGAACACTGAACCCCTGGGTACAGGGAAAGAGGGCAGATAGCATGTGGGCATTTGACAAGTTCTTCAGCAAATGCAACATGGTTTATTGTCCTGAGATTATTATGTTTGAACCAGACTGGCATATTTTTCATTCAATCATTTAACCAGAATCAGCTGCAATATGCTCAAATGAGTGGTAAATTAAAGCAAATGGGTTCATATTGTGCTTATATCCCCTCTTTCTCTAAGAAAACAAGTTAACTGAAGTTACTAGCTTTTCCTGTTTTTGTAATTGCTTTGAACCCTTTTTAACCCTGTTAATTGAATTCTGAGAGTCAATATTTCAGTGGAAAGATGTTATGAAAATGTGGTTGGTTTTAGAGACCTGACTGTTTATTCAACCTAGGCTGTCATCTGCTAAATGGAAATACTACTTGCCTATTAATCTTCCCCAATTTTTGTGGAGAGTGTCCTGCAATACACATGTTAAATGTGCTACAGAAATAATGTGTTGTGACTTTTTAATTGGTGTATTTTCTCTGTACAGAAAAGAAAGTAGAAGGTGCATATACAAATGCCAGGAAGCAGCTGCTAATTTCTTCTGTTCCAGCTGTTCTTATTCTCCATCTGAAAAGATTCCATCAGGTGAAGCCCTAAAATATTATTCTTTTTTTAAATTGCTGGATGGACAACTTATGACCTTCCAGGTGTTTTATTCTACAGTTTCTATCAGCCCTATTCAGCATAGTCAATTTTGAAAGACCTTAGAACTTGGGAAGGGTATACAGTAGGCTAAAAAGTTAGATAAATATAAGCAGTGTTATTGAGAAGAGAAGCTTTGTAACTGAGTTCTAACTACATCTAATTGAAATTCAATCTACTGGTTTTAGAAGAAAGTTGCAAATACAGATTATTAATATATGGTAAGAAAAATGCCAACTTTTTCTTTCAATTTAAAGCTCTCTTTTCCTTTTTTCTGTTGTTCCATCCAAACAATATAATGTGATGCACTGTGGGAAAAGCCTTTTAGAGGAGCTTGCTGAAAGTATTCACACATCTAATAGTGCACAAAAGGTGATGGAGAAAAGGGCATAAAGAGGAAAGGTTCTCTCTTTTCTCCTCCCTTTTCTTGCTTGGGTTACTCCTCCTGTGTGTGAAGCAGGAGCGATGTGGAGGGTGTGGTGGGGGGAGGAAAATGGTGGATGCAGGTTGGAGTAGCTGTCAAGTTTCAAGTTGGCTCAGGAAATTTCTCAGTATTTTCTGATTTTGGTAGGAAAATACTTGGAAAAAACCCAACCCAAGGTAGGGCATCAGTGGATATACCTATAATGTGAGTACATATAACGTGTAAATCTTTTGATCCTAGCAGGCATAAGTTCAATATTTTTAAAAGGACAAATCAGTTCTCTTTTAATGAAAGAGTCTGCTGTAGTTTCACTGTAGAATTATCCTCCTTTAGCAGACTTGGTCCTGTTATATTGTACATAGGAAGAGAATAATGTTTGTCTTTAGATCTGGAAGGAAAAACATCTTTGATAGTGGATCTTTAGAATTCAGTAATTCTGAGATTTTTTAAATAAAATGTATGTTATAATTCTATTTGTACTTTACTGTAGATGCCACACTTAATAAAGAAGTATGTCTGTAACAGTGTGTACAAGGCATAATTTCATTAGGTGGAGAGCTGCAATTTATCTTTCTGTAATGCCCTTTGTGTATAGAATTTAGCAGCTCTGCTTATACTTAAAAGAAGATTGTTTTGCATGTGTATGTGTTCTGTTGCTATAACAAATATTGAAATTTTGTGTTTAAGCATTTTAGTATTGTGCTTTTCCAATTCAAGATCCAAATGGCACCTATGGAGAACTATTTTAAAATATTAAATATCTTTCATTACTTTTTAAGGCTGGGGTGAGTCTAAGGAAAGTTAACCGGCATGTGGATTTCCCACTAGTTTTGGACTTGACTCCATTTTGTTCTGTTTCCTGCAAGGTATGGCATATGGGAAGCACCATTTTTCATTATGCTTAAAAGTAATTTGCTAAGCTGCAGTTTTTAACAACTTTTGCTGTTATCAAGTGATTCCCAATACTGACCCTTAAAATGAATAGATATTTTAAACCTGTGCATTGACTATTTGCACATAACAAAAGCCTATGGGTTAAATAAACCATGGGCTGCTGGGGACAAGCAGGAGAAAGCAAATGTGCTACCTGTACTGTACCCTCTACTTCTGCTTTTACTCAATAGCCTAGAATTAGTTTATTTAAAGTTCTAAGCTAGATCTAGTTTGACACTTTTACAAGGAAGTGAGATGTAACTTAGATGTTTAAAAGTTTAGGCTGGTAGAAGAGAGTCCTGGCTATTATTCAGTCAATATCAGTGGAGCATGGTGTTCACCCCTGGACTATTGGTTTGCTTTGGGGTTTGATAACCTAGCAGTTAACCCAACAACCGGTCTGGATTTGGACATCATGTGCAATAACTTATAAGGGGACCAATGCTGAGTAAAAGCAGAAGTGGCAGGCATGTTGTAGGCAGCATGCCCATTCTCTTCAATCATGCACAACATCCTACGGGTTGTCGTTACATGTGAACCAGCTAGCAGAGTCTAATCACTCAGCCAAGATAGGATAATGAAATTGATTGAATAGTATTAAGGATCTCCTCTGGTAACCTAATATTTAATGAACTTGCTAAATTTCCTTTTATAACTGTCAAATGCAATCTAGTTAATGAACTCTGATTGCTAATTTGAATAGTAGAGCCTGAATATATTTGAAAACATGAAGAAATCATATTTCTTACCCTCTTTTTTTGTTTTGGTTTGCAAACAGAATGTGACAGATAGTGGGAAGGTTTTTTATGCTCTTTATGGAATAGTAGAACATAGTGGGTCGATGCGCGGAGGTCATTATGCAGCATATGTGAAAATTAGAGCACCATCTAAAAAGCTGTTGGAGCACATTTCTAGCAATAAAAATGTTCAAGGTATGTACTTAAGAAAAATTATATATTGTTGGGTCAAATGCTTCTAGAAATCTTGAATACAGTAAATTCAATGATGATGATAGAAGATATTATTTAAAAAGATGTCTGGCACACATTTTTCCATTGAAAGGATGCTCTAGATCAGTGGTGTTCAACTTTTCCACAGCTTGGAACTGGAGAAAACAGGAAAACCACCTCAGGGACTGCTGAGGCAGAAACAAAAAGCACCACAATACAGTATTCTGGGTATTAGTTTCAAATACAATACCAAACAAATGAAAATTCTGAAAACAACCAGAAACTGAGCAACGAAAATGCTAACAAAAGAATAAAATAGCGAAATCAGCACTGTGTGGTTCCCAGCCGGCTCCCACCTCCCTGCCCACTCCCAGCAGCGGCACAGCAGCACCCCCCCCCCACAAATGCAATGCCAACTGAGGAAGAGATGGAGGAGCACAGCCAGCCCCCATGCTGGTCCGTGGTTAGCGGGATGCACCCCACTTCCCAAGGACCAGCAGGAAATCTCCTGTGGACTAGTGGCTGAAGATTATTTATTTAGCGGACTTATATGCCGCCCCATTCGCCTAAGCCTCGGGGTGGCTTACAAATAAGTATCATTAATACAATAAAATGCAGTTGGAGACATCCTGGCCAAAGTTGTTAAAATCAATAAATAAAATCAGCAATTAAAATGCTGTTTAAATAAAAAGGTCTTGGCCTGGCGCCAAAAAGCAAATAACGGCGCCAGGTGGACCTCTCTGGGGAGTGTATTCCATAGGTTGGGTGCCACCGCAGAGAATGCCCTCCTCCGTGTACTCACCCTCCTAATGTCCTTCACGGATGGCTCCTGGAGAAGGCCCTCTGCCGCCGATCTCAAGGGGTGGGAGGGCACATACGGACGTAAGTGCTCCTTTAGGTAACCAGGACCCAAGCCGTTAAGGGCTTTATAGGTGATAACCAACACCTTGAATTGGGCCCGGACTGCAATGGGGAGCCAGTGAAGCTGATGGAGGACTGGAGTTATGTGAACACAACGCCCAGTCCCCGTCAGAAACCTGGCAGCTCTGTTTTGCACCAATTGAAGTATCCGGACCATCTTCAAGGGCAGCCCCATGCAGAGCACGTTACAGAAGATGTCCCAGTTTCCATGACATGCCAGGTTTATCAGAGGATGCTTAATCTGCAGTGAGCTGCAACTTGTGCCAGGTGGTATTTTGAATATAAAACACCTGATTGGGGTACTCTGGAGGTTACTGTGTTATGTGAAATCAGCCACTGTGGGTAATTTGAGAGCTGAATAAGTCACCCACAGTGGTTGGGTTCACACAGTACAGCAGACCTTCTGTTTGGGGATTACATATTCAAAATGTTACCCAGCTTGTTTTATGAGTCTGGCATGTCATGCAAACGTGGATGTTAACTTACTTGTGTTTCCAGTTTCTTACATTTCCTATTTTAGTTTCCCAACTATATTTACAAATGGTAATCCCAGCTGAAAAATCGTTTCTTCCATATTGCATGCAATATATCATCTAACATAATTTATAACTCTGTATTTTGCATAAATCTGGCATATAAATTGGCATCCTGAGAAAAGTTTTGTTTTGGGAAAATTCAGTGTGCAACCCTGTAAATTGCAGAGATGCACTTGTAGTGAGCGCATTTCTCATGAAATCTCAGAGGCCATAAAAGAGGAGAAATTCACAGTGTTTATACTGGGAATGTGGCATTCTTTTATTCACCTTCGTCCCCTGAACCCAGCCATTGAGTTCCTCACCCAAACATAGTCTGATGGAGACATCCAACAAAGTGGCTTCATTTATCAAGGCACACTTTAATTCTTTTCTTATGGTATGATACACTAGTCTATCACACAGCTTGAAAATTACTATGATTGGCAGTTTCCCTGATGAGCAATGTCAAGCTAAAGCAGCTTTCAAAATAATGTCTTCCATAGAATTGAACTAAGAACCTGAAAATAAAGACTGCCTCTATCCAGTGCTTTGATTGTGTAATTTCCCTGCCCCATTGACAGGGTTTTTCTTTTTTTGGGGGGGGGGGGGTCCAGATGATTGTAGCCCACTCTTGCATTCCCGCTGCTGTTTCTATTGACCAGAAAATATTCTTTAAGAAAGGAGTGTTAGTTTCAGGACCCTCCATTTGGAACCATACAACGTCCAAATGAATTTAATATAGTGTTGTACCTGCTCCTCTACCTGATTGTACATTTGGAGGTTTTTAATTGAAATTAATGACTGTTCTTTGCTTTACAGGTTTAAAAGAAGCTGTAGGACCATCTGTAGGACAGTGGGTATATGTCAGTGATACCCACGTACAAATGGTTCCAGAATCGAGAGTATTAAATTCACAAGCTTACTTGCTTTTCTATGAAAGAATGCTATAGCTATAAGAAGTGCTGAAAGCGTGATAATGATCACTATTATTTTGGCTTATTTAAATGCATCAGAAAATCATAGCATATCTAGTGTTGTGTCATTATCTCTGTTTTGATAAACGTCAACATGATTTCTTACTGAAAACCCATGGTTTGGATACAGAAACACAAAGCACTTTCATTCTCACACAGATACAGTGGCCATCTTTGTTTCTGGCAGCCGCATATCTTACCGGATATCTGTGGTTGCAGTCATAAAGAAGGAACTGAACTTCATGTTTCTCTGCAACAAAGCCCATATCTTTATAATTTAAATCCTTAAAAATATGAAACCAAATACTGACTTTCCAGTGTGGATCAGTAAGATCAACATGCATTTTAAAAACATTGATTGGATGAATTATCTTGGTCAGACTGAGTAGCCCCTGAATTTTCCTTAATGCAAAAGTCACTGGTGCATAACCATGGTTGAGTAGCATATTTGACACTTGAATTTTCTTGAAATGACTGCTGTATGTTAAGTTACCAACTGAAGAAATTGGGAGAAGGTATTGATAAAATAGTAATTATGTTAAGAAATACTCTAAAATATGGGTCCTCAAACTATGGCCCACGGGCCGGATCCAGCCCGCCATGCTAATTTATCTGGCCCGCCTCCGAGCTTTTGGACTTGCTTGGAGAAAACGATCTCTGAGTGAGTCCAAAAGCTCTGAGCCAGGGCAGGCATACTCAGTGGGAAGGCAGGCGTGATCATGGGCGCGCACGTGCAGGGAAGTCGGGTGTGATTGCAGTCATGCTTGGAGGGAGGGAGATGGCCATGATCGTGCTGGTGGCGGGGAGGGGGGGTGGGATGGCCGCGATCGCTCTTGCCTTCCCTGCATGAGTGTGCCTGCACCCACTGCCACCGCCGTCTTGCTGTCCTGCACCCACTGCTGCCACCTTTCAACTGGCCCCCTGTTGAAAAAGTTTGAGGACCCCTGCTCTAAAACAGTAAGTCCAAAATGTTTCTATAGCCTTGTTTTCTCGGAATTGTTCCAGTTTAGAATGTGTATGGTTCCAAACAAAATCTTGCAATTTGTGGAAACTTTAGCTGATGGGAGAACAACTTAGAGCCTTTCATATGCTTTGGCCTACAACTTCCATGATCCCTCATGGGATCCGTTGGCTATGCTAGCTCAAGCTAATGGGAGTTGTAGGCCTCAGCATGAGCTTTAGCTCATCAGGGAGCAATTTTCCATGAAGTTCTTGCCCTGGGAATGTATTTAAACATGCAGACTCTCATGTGCACTATGAAGATGGTACAAGCTGTAGAGAACTGTACCATATACCTTTTTCAAATCAATGCACAATTTTGAGTAGAACATGAAATTCACTGTCATTTTTGGATGAATCTGAAGAGCTAACCTCAAATGTGCAAGTACGATGATTTACTTCATACCCAGTGTTTTGGGTTGAATACTACCTTCAGATAATTCTTTATTTTCCTAAAGAACTCAACCTTTGTATAGTGTGATTTTCACAATATACACTGACTGTTGCATTGAATTACTTTTACATTAAAAGTAGGAGTAGGATACAGGTGAATGTAATCAATGCCTTACAAAGAGTCAGGTTTGTTCCTTCATTGTTATTTGCAATATATATATATTTATGTATGCAGTACAGAATAGTTAGGCTAGCTTCCCATGTGCACTGTGGTTTCTGACATTTTAAAAAAACAAGCATTATACCACATGTGAAGCTGCTTTCTAAGGAGCAAAGAATGGAGGATCAAAGCCCCCCTTTCCATTGAAGCCATTATATTCGAAGAGGCTTTTGATTGGGTTCAGACAACAGGATAACCCACATTCAAGGCTGGGGTATGGATTCATTGTGGATTGTTGCTGAACTGTGGATGGTTGTTGAAACATAAGCATAAACATGAATTATTATGTTTCCGAACCCAGCTGCCCTAATAAGACCAACTTGTTGACAGCAGACAACCCATGGAAAGAACCCATAGTTTACTGTGGCTTGATAGGCTCAGATGTCCCTTGTTTTAGCAAAAACCCATGGTCCAGTGACAACCCAAAATTAACCTATACTTTTCCCTTGCAGTCATTGGGTTATAAAGATAAGCACATTGAAGGGGTGCTTCAGGGGTAGAAACTGACTTTGGTTCTTCCCTCCATTAGCAGCCCCCAAAGACTCTCTTACAGGCACCGGTTGTGTGGTGGCAAATTTTGAAGCAAAGGTGCACTCATGATTGTAGTCGTAGCTATGTTCTGAAGGAAAGTCCAAAACACAGGCAACTGCGTTGATCTCTACATGTGTGGACACATGTACTATGGGTATGCCAGCATTACACATATGAATTACGCCTATAGCATAATAACCAATTGAGCAGCTGACAGTTGTAAACTAGTGATCTGGCAATGGGCAGTGTAGTAGTTAACACGTGGGACTGAATGGGGAGGCCTGAGACTGCCTGAGAAACAGAAAGAGAGGGACACAACATCTTCCCAACTAGCCTAGGACTTCTTTTTCTAAGAAGAAAAAGGAGGAGAAAAACATGATGTTGAAGTAAACAATTTGGTTTTAGCCACTTTTATCTCCATCTAGATCAGGTCTTTTATAAAGCTAATGGGTTTTCTAAGCTTCCCCCAAAATGCTTCCTGTTATAACAGGGAGAGCTCACAACATATTTTTTTCCTGGGGAAATTCCTAGGTACTGTGCAAATTGCCACAGGAACAGAGAACTTGTGGAGGACCAGCAGATGTCATCCTCATAATCCCTAATCAAAAAGTCTCAGTACTTTGACTCTTTGAATCCTGGTGTCACTACACCGTTGCCAAGTACCCTGTTGAATAGGCTGGGCTGTGTTAGAGTGGGAAGGAGAAGATCCCTGAAGATTTGGTAGGAATATGGGAGGTGGCTCTGACTGGATTTCCCTCTAGTCCCCCTTGTTACAGCTAACCCAATTCAGTAGGGTTCCTGGACCCTTAGATAAGCTTTGGGGTGGCAGTTGTTGGGTTGGGATGTATGATCTTCTGGGGGAAGGCAGGGAGAATATTTCACATGCACTGTGTCCCTTATTTCTGGACCTTCACTTTTGTCTAGGAGTGGTTCTAACAATAGACAAAAGGATGGGTGTGTGTGTGTGTGTTTTCTGCATGTGTGTATCCATGGGTAGATTCTGGGTATAATACAGCAACACATTCTGGAATTGGTACACATACGAAAATGATCAACTGCTAAATGATAACTGATGCATGTTATGTCTTATTTTTAAATTATTATTTAAATGCTTAGAAAATTCTGCCTGATTGGCACTAATGGATATTCAGGGTGATAGGAAGTAGGTTTAGGGCATGGGATCAATGAGCCAAATGGTAGCGACATTGATACTATGCCTTAATACCAGTAATGAAGAGAAAACTATCAAGAGAATATTGAGACCTATAGTGCCAGGAAGTACTTCTTGACAGTTAGGATCCCAAGGGTATGGCATGGGCGTCTACAGGAGGTGGTTGAAGCCCCATTGGTGAGGATGTTCAAGAATAGGCTGGACATGCACATGGTAGGCATGAGTGGAGCCAGTGGTCAGACTAGATGGCCTGTGAGGCCCCGTCTGACTTGCTATGCTTCTAATCCTTGATCATCCACCCATACAATGTAATCTTATATGTTTCTACTCAGAAGTAAGACCTGTGTTGTTCATGTACAACAAGAATGTTTTGGGTGAATATTCCCTTTTTGAGCATTTGGAACCTAAAGATGTAAGCATATGTAAGGCTTTTTCATCTATTTTACTAGAGAAGATGACTCCATGCTTGGAGAGTTTCTGATATGACTTGGTGCATGATGCCTGAATACATACACCTGAATAGTTTGTGCATCTGGATTGGTTTGTACACCAACAAGAGGGAATATTTCAGCAATGTTTTCAATGAAACAGCCTAAAATAAAAGTTCCTCAAATTTATAGAGAAAATGGTTCCATTAAAAGTTAAATGGGAAAGTTAAATCCCATCAGTTTACAGGAGAGAGAGTGAATGTTTTAATCATATAGATATCAAGCGAGATTTAATTGAGATTTAAGATGAGATCACTTCACTTTAGGCTTATGTTACTAGGACAATATTTATTACTTGTTTTTAGTGCTGCCTCAAAAGCCTATGGAACTTGAGCACTAGTTGTAGATGGAGCTAGCATAGCAAGTCCTGTGATTTTGGAAAAGGAGTCTCTTTTCCTTCAACTCCTTTGACATTTCCTTGAACCTCTGAGAATTCCACCTCCCCTTCTTTCAGTTGATTCCCCTTTTAGAATTCCCTGCACCAACAACACACACCTTTCTTTTCCACCTTAATAAAATGCCCATTAGATCCCATATCTCAGTACGTGCTTTCTTATCAGATCCAACATTTTCACAAATGGCTCGCTATCTTTAGACCTTTTCATCTCTCTAACATGCCTCCACTGTGGTGGCTCAGTCTGTAGTGACTCCATCTCTGATAACTACAAAACACTTCTGGGTCGGATAAATTGGTAGTGCATTGGTACTGAACAGCAGTTGAGGAAGCATCATCTTCTGGTTTGGTCTTGGAATTGCATGCCTTAGAACTTGATTAGAACAAAATGGGGATGTGGATAGGAGCGTCTGAAAATGGCAGCTTGGACAACCGATACTAAGGCAGTCTTTAAGTGCTTAGGAAGAAAGTGGAGGTTAAAAGAAGCCTAGATGTAGTCTCCATTTCTAAGGGAGTGGTGTGAGAACACTCCTAATCCAGCATAGAGGACTTCCTTAATGTGATGCTTTCCAAATGTCTTGGGTTAGAATTCCCATCATCATTGGCTATTGGCCATGCTGACTGGAACTGATGGGGATTACAGTCCAATAACTTTGGGAGGGCACCAAGGTACGGAAGGCTGACAGCCATGTGCATGACCTTGATTACTGAATGCAGGGATGTTTTTGCATGAGTTTCTCAGACTAATGTGTCATGCTCACAAGATTTGAGGTGCTTGCTCCTAGCTTCAGTGTAGTAGTTTAGTAAACATCCTTTGTGCTTTTTAGTAAAATGGCTTTTCTGGAAAAAAATATTGATCTATGGCTGTGATTTGTGAACCCCACTGGTCTGTCAATATCAAAAGGACGTGCTCAAATAAAATATTTATTTAGCTTTTATTTTTATTAAAAAGTGACTGATTTGTAGCTACATATCTAAATTCTATTCCTTCTCTAACAAAATTAAATGTTTAAATTTTCTTGTATCTGCACTTTCGACATAAAAAAGCCAAACTATGAGATTTTGCAAGACAGATGATACTAAAAAGAGCTTCAGAATGCACTAAGAAAAAATATTTTCTGTTGTGTTTCAGTGCTAGAAAACTTGAATTATATTTGATAAGATATTATGTAGGCAGATAATAAATGACAAAGGGTTGCAAATAATTATTTTTTGTGTAATGACTGGCAAAATTGCAGGCAGAATATACTTTGTATGTGCAATAAACTAACATATGACTGTATTTTTACTTATGAAATATATAAAATGTATAGAAATTTTCCATATGAATATATACTTAGTCTAATTGAGAAAATATATGAAAATGACTGCTAAATATATTGTGGATACAAATATAAAATGTATGGTTTTTGATTT